ATCCCTAAACCATTAAATAGCATACCACAGTACACAGCATTTCGGTGTCCACGTATCCTCTTGATGTTTTGCATCTTTTGTACCATTGAAGATGGTTTTGCAATAACGTAACATGCTGCACGTATTGATGGAGCACGATGATGTCTGGCAAAACCACCACCAATTTCCCTCAAACTAATACCACGAACCTGATCAGCATGCATATGAGGCCAACGCATGCCAATAGGTGGTGCTTTGAGATCACTTCCAACTATTTCCTTGTCAGCTGCAAAATCAAACGAAGTAGCTTATAGCAAACCAAGATTTTCAATAGAATTTAATAAATACTAAATAAGCCCCAAAAATTTATAAGAGGTATTGGTATTATTATTATGTGAGTATATACGTATGCTAGTAAATATATGTATATGTGTGCGTGTGAGTGAGTTAAACTCGCCAATAAAACAAGATCTTTTAGAAATCACCTACAGCTCAAAAGGGAGAACGAGCCAGTGCCTAAAAGTGTTGGAACACCAGCCCCAATCATTTTATTTCCATCACTGATCCCTCGTGAGGGATTAGGCCTATTTGAAACAAAGACCAATTGCTTTAGAAGTTCCACCAAGTGATCTTTTTTTACGTGAGAATACCTGAGAATAAACAATGTCATGAAACAAGTTATATATTTCTGGAGGGAAGAAACCCTTAACCAGTCTAAGAAATTAGAAAAGTACAACGACATCATGAACTGACAGAAATGAATTACCAACAATAAACTTCTTCATATAAAAATTCATTTCAAATTCACAATAAGTACTACAATCAGTGAGAGCAACACTATTAGTTACCTTTGAGCCAACTCAGTATAGTTTAAAGGAAAGGAATTGCCATCATCACTCTCATCCCCACTAGGCAATCCACTCCTGGAGTACCAAGCATGATATCTTCTAGGAAGAAGCTCATGTTCAAGAAGTTCATGTCGCAACAGTGCATAAGTTCTCTGGCATGGCCCAGATGAAAGTAAGTGGAGCATCAAAAAGTAAATTTCCCGGAGGTCCAAATCAATATTAGGACCAACAGTTTGAGGAATATCGGGGTCTGAAATCTGCACATTCCCTGGTAATTTTCTGGAGATATTCAAAGGCTTCATAGGGAGTGAAACTGAATCCCCTTTAGGAGTATTTTTCCTAAGAGCCATTGGATCCTGTCAATTTGCCAGACACTGACGTCAATCGTCAATGCAAATCCAACAGCTAGAACATGAATAGACAAAGGAAAAAAAAAATCAAGAAGATAGAATACTTGCAACAAATAAGAAACAAGATCCTGGAAGATATTATGTTAGTCCTACTCTCCGGAATATAACAGTGAGACAAGAATGGAAATCTAGGAGATTGCAGATAAGATAACACTGAAACCTATGCATCTCCAAACTTAGAGCGTACTAAAACCTGCACAACCAAGTAGCTCCTATTTAAATCTTCGCAGCAAACTATCTAAACCACTCCAGGAAAGAAAGTGAACAAATGGCGTAATATCATCCTTGCATTCATGTTTAAATCTTCTACTTTATCCTTATACTAATGTTTAACAATACAACCTTCAAACGTATCTCAACTAAAATATACAAAATTTCCATTAAAAAGAACTAAATAATACCTTAAACCCACAACACACATATAATTACATACCAAAGCTTTCCATTGAGCAACGGTACAAGACCTCTAAATCCAATCAAATGCTAGTTAACTTTGATATGAATAAGAGGGCTTAGAAAGTGTACCTCCGTGATTCCGCGTGACCAAAGGAGAACTAAGATCACAGACTAAACGAAAGACTCTTCGAAAGAACTCCAAAACCATAACACATTGTCTCTGAAACAATTGAAAAACAAAAACCCTAAAATTGAATCGCCAAATATCTAAATCACCAAAGAATCCAAACGCAAATCAAATCAAAACATTGCAATACAGAATCAATATTGAACAAAGCACATGCACAATGCCAATCATCAGTTCCTCTATACAATTTAACAACAAAAATTCCCCACATGTGATGGTACGAAGGAGATTAAAAGGAGAAAACTTTGTCCAACCTCTTGAAGTTTTCAAGAAAAAGCGGCGGTTAGAGAGTCGTCGAAACCTCTAAGCTTCGTTTTAGGATGAAGAAGATGGAGTGGGAAGGGAAGAATCCAGATACCCAAAGAGCAAAAACGAGAAATTGTAGAATAGGGTCGTCTTGTTAAGAGAAGAGGATCAAAATCCAAAAGAAAGTTTCAATCTTTGTGAAGCTTTTAGTAGTTTGCGTTATTCGGTTTGAGTGTTTTAAGGCAAATTTCGGCAGAGGACGAAGGATTGTGGAGAGAAACGCACTGGGGATAGAGAGAGAAGAGAGAGAGATGAAACAGAACACAAAGAACTCGACCCTAAAACGCAGCGTTTTCTTGATTTTAGTTCACTGGGTCTAGTCCGGGTCACGTGCCATGGCCCATTAACAGAGAATTGAAGGTTGATATAAAATATATTTGGGAGTTTGAACAACAAAGTGGCTGTAGTTTAGTGGTGAGAATTCCACGTTGTGGCCGTGGAGACCTGGGCTCGAATCCCAGCAGCCACATTTATTTTTTGTTTTTTGTAATTATAACAAAGAGGCCGAAGTTGGACTTGTTAATTTGCTTCAAAATTTATAAAGCCCACGGCTTTAATGAGGCTTAATGATTTGATTTGTACAGAGAATCTTACTAACCAACACATAAAAATTATATACTTGGATAATGTTTAAATTTAGTCACTCTTAATTATCATAAAATTGAATTGTTTGGATAATATATGAAAAGTATATTTAACTAGTTGACACATATAACACAACCTCATTAGCTAGAGTTTTGTCACATGTCTTATCTAAACACATTCAACTCTTTAACTATATATACAATAAAATAATTTACCTAACTAAATTTGAGCAACGTGAAGATGACACCATATTATCATCTATCCACTATATTGGGAGTTGATGTCGTCTGCAAGACTGCGACCATATCATAATATGGTAAAGTGGCTTTGTAATATTAAACTAAGCAAGTTTTTGAGTTAAGAGGGATTACGTGGTGAACAAAAAAAAAAAAAAAAAAAGAGGGATTACGTAAGAATAAACCAGGTTTGCATAATTTACTTTGTTTTATTTTCATTAGTCTCCATAACAAGATAATATTGAAAATATTGGAAAAATAAATTATTTTTAAAAAAAAGAAAGAAGAATGCAGAATTGAACAAATTTAAAATTTAAAATTATTAGTTTTAAAACTCTGATAATGACGCAAACATAATTAATTACGATAAACAAGAGAGTATGTATCAAAGAAACTGTTTGTAATCATAAACCAGTGATCACTAGTAAAAAAAATACATATAGCCACTTGGCAGTCGCGAAAATTCGTGGCTATAAGGTGATTTTTTTAAAAACAGCCACGAATTTTCCACGAATTTTTTAATCTACGACCCTATAGCCACGAAATTTAAGGCACAGCCACGAATTGCCAAGTGGCTATAGAGATTTTTTTTACTAGTGGATGCAGATACGTGAGTGTTAAGCAACTTTCGTACTCTACGTATCATATGTCTACAAAAACTTCGATGATGTAATAATCACAAACCATGATCACTACAAAAATATTATAAAAAAAGTATAAGACGGTGTTACCAACTTAAAAGTATGAAATTATATTACCAAATCCCAAACAGTCCAACACATTTTTCAATAGTTTGTTTGTGGTTTCGAATTTAACAAAATTACATACAGTAGTACAAAACAGTAATCGAATTTAAACTAGTAAATTAAACAAGAATGGTAGCAAATCTGCTATTAAGTAATCATTTTTTAAAGTTGATATGTTATATAGAATAGAATAACATCATTTTCCAATAAGTATATATTTGATAAATTAGGATGTAATCTTTTTTTCTTTCTATTAGATTGACCCGGACCAAGACAGTAGTTCTCATTTTCACCTATAAAGATATTTTATTTTATATGTGATAAATAATAAGAATCATATATTGATGAGCAGATAAGGATGATGTATTTTTAAAACTATATATATAATTATATATATTCTTCCCATCCTCTAGTTTTTTTTTTCATTATAAAAGAGAAAATACCAAGTAGGGCTGCTTACCTTTATTTTCTTATTCTCTATTTGAAAACTGTTTTTCTTTTAGATAAGACACAATCACAAAAAAGTAAAAATCAAATGGAACTTTTCTTTTTGAAGATGGATAATTTTCTTTATTAATAAAAATTGTCAACCATGTTATGCGTAATCTCCATTATCCACGAAACCAAATTTTAAAATAGTCCTCATTTTCTCCACGTTTAACCCTTTCATCTTCCTAAATCCTAAACTAAAATATAGTTTACGTATGCTTCTTACTAAATGTGGTAACTTTTTTTTATATTCCCATTTTACAATTCAAATGGTTTTTTAACTGTTTTATTACACCATTACACACTGACATGAACTGATCCAGTTTCGTAACTTTTAGTACTAAACGAGGAATTAAATTTGGACAAGTGTACGTAATTAGAAGGTTATAGAATCTAGTTTTTTTCTTTGGATATATTTCTAGATTTATGGATTGTGACAACTAATTTACAACACAACGAATACAAATGTTTAAATGCATACAAGAAGAAGCAAAAATATAGTAATTGCTGGTCTGCCTATTAAGGAACAACACCAACACGTATTTAGCTGTTATTGTCCTAATAAAAATAATAAAAGAATAACCAAAAATGTAAAAAAAAAATCAAATTAGAAAGATATGTTTGACCAAAGTTGTCTTTCTTCTCCTATTCGTCATATTCGATGAATCTACCTTTTTATATATATCTCGGATAATCTTTTGTATTGTAAAAAGAAATAAAAAATTACAAACAAGATATATATGTTTTTTAATTTTATTTTTGTGAATGTAATCTATAAATAAGTGCAAACCTAAGACGAACAACTTCTCCCACTTTACTTTATTTTGTCGATCTTATCCTTATCTTCTTCTTTGTTCTATTTCTCCTTCTAACTAATCTCATCTCCCTCTCTTAACATCAAATCAAACCTAATCGTTATAGATCTTCTTGATTAATTTTTCTCAATATCCTTCTTCAATCACAGATTCTTGAAAATCTTTAGAGTTGTTCTTGAAAATCTTTAGAGTTTCGTTCTTGAGTTATGAAATGAGAATGGACAGAGTTATGAAATGAGAAACCTCAACCAATTCTCACGATTCCTAGTTTATCATTCCGTATCCGTTGTGATTCTTCATTGGTTTTACGTTATCTCTTGATTCATTAGGACAAAACAAAAAAGTTACATGGCAAACGCAGAGAAGACAACAACAAGTTCAGGTTCCGACATAGACGAGAAGAAAAGAAAACGCAAGTTATCGAACCGCGAATCAGCTAGGAGATCGCGTTTGAAGAAACAGAAGCAAATGGAAGACACGATTCACGAGATCTCGAGTCTTGAACGACGAATCAAAGAGAACGGAGAGAGGTGTAAGGTTGTGAAAGAGAGGCTTGACTCGTTGGAAACGGAGAACGCTCTTCTTAGATCGGAGAAAACGTGGCTTTCGAGTTACGTTTGCGATTTAGAGAATATGATCGCTACGACGACTTTGACCTTAACACATAGCGGCGGCGGCGGCGGTTGCGATGGCGATGAGGATGAGAACGCAAACGCGGAAATAGCGGTTGGAGATTGTAGACGACGTAGACCGTGGAAGTTGTTGAGCTGTGATTCTTTACAACCAATGGCGTCTTTCAAGACATGAGAATTTTGTGTACTAAAATGTGTTTGTGTTTTTACTTTTTGTGGTCTTTTTTTTTCTAGTTTTGTAATCTTTTTATTATATCGAATTGTTTCTTTCTTCTGATCATTATTACATTCTGATACAATTGGTTTTGTTCTCGCTTTCAACATTTTTTATTTTAACATTGAATGATTTAGGTGGCTGACCAAAAAGAACAGAAGAGATTTTTCGTATCATATATGTTAATGGGAGAATTGATTATGAATTTATGATAATGGAATTAATAAATTTTAAAATTTTCAATATGTTTTGGGATGGATGTGAACGAACTCTACAACCACAACAATGCTCACAGAACTTTGGAACAACGTAAATTTTTATAACGCTCTCAAGTCATAATCTTTTTTTTTTGTGTCATCAATGGTTAATCTCAAGTTAATCTATATCCACGAATGTTCAGAAAACTAAAGAAAAAAGTGATTATGATGTCATAAGAAATAAGAAGCTACGTGAATTTATATTGGGCCAAATCACTTCATTTCGGGTCCATTAATTAGGATAATCAGCGCAAATTTGCAAACTCAGAGTTCCTCACATGATAAAAGTTAGATACCGATCAATTTCACAAAAATCACACTACATACCTCGATGTTCATAAAATATGCCTATAAGAATGAAATGCGCAAGTTATGTAAAATCTTATCTTGGTTATTCGAGGAGAGAGAGCTTTTTGTGGTTGTACATAACCTAACTATAGTTTTGGTTAGAAACCTTATCACTCTATTTCTACATACACGAACGTAACTCTCATTGTAAATGATCCACCACTAATTTCCCTTCTATAAGAAAATAGAGTATTGTCTCCGAATATTCACAAACTCATTTTAAATTCCATGTTTCTTTACATTCAACTATGTTTGTGCTATATCATTAGCTCATCGAATATAAAACTGTATTAACATTTTCTAACTTTTCAAATACTTCAAGACCAAACTGTGTTTCAATGAAAATGCTTGCTTGATTCACAATCCCATCTTTTGAAAGGAGTTGCTGAATCTTGAAGACAAAACAGCCCACTTAACACCACCAGCAAGGACGACAACATATTAACGACCCAACATCTCACGTCTTAAGCAAACCAATTAAAATAAACAAATGTATTAACTGTTAGGTGTTTGTCAATGTAAAGATTGATAGAAATCAATTTTGGGTAGAAAGAAGTTGTGAACTAACTACCTTACCAATAAGCCCACATGACCATGATGATGATCCCATCCATTAGTACTGTGTTGTGAGAAAGAAGAAAGCTTTTGTTTCCCTCCCATTTCTCTATATTAATGGTGCTTCCTCTCTAACACCATTCCTCTTTCTCTCTCTACCATCATTTATTCTCTCTCCCTCATCACTGAGACTCGACTCGGGTCGTCACCAGGTCTGTTCTCTTCTCCTTTCAGATCGAAACAATTCGTAAGCTTTTTTTAGATCTGTCTTGATTCCGATCTGTGTTTTTCATACCAAAGTTTCGATATTTACGAGGAGGGTGCGTAAAAATCGAAACTTTTTTAAAAAAATTGTTTCTTTTTTTCAATCCTAGATTCGTTAGTGTAGTGATGAGATCTGTGTGGTAGTGATTAAGGAATCGGAATCGAATCAGTGTGAAAGTAGCCTAATTTCATAATCAGAATTTGTGGGATTTTCTTGTTCCTAACTCTGTTCGTGTTCGATTCAAGTTCTCAGCATTACAATAGGAACAATTCGTTAGCCAGTGCATTGCTTGTGGATTTGACTTATCATTGTCTATTCTTGTGTGATTCTCAGTTTCCCCTTTTGAGCTATGGCAACGGGACAGCTATTTTCTCGGACCACACAAGCTTTATTCTACAACTACAAGCAGCTTCCTGTTCAACGAATGCTCGATTTTGACTTCCTTTGTGGTAATATAACGAATTACAATGTCTTAATATAGGATTTGGTTTGATCAATTTGATTTGACGTTGAGAGTTTTGATTATCATTGATCATTTGTTTTCTCTACAGGACGTGAAACGCCTTCTGTTGCTGGAATCATAAACCCTGGTTCTGAAGGTTTTCAAAAGCTCTTTTTCGGTCAGGAGGAAATCGCTATCCCTGTTCATGCCGCGTAAGTTTTTGATAATGTCATGTAAAATCTTCAGAGAAACTTACTATGTGCAAGTCTTGTTTTTTGTTTTAACTTCTTTTGTAATGCAGCATTGAGGCAGCATGTGCGGCGCATCCAACCGCAGATGTATTCATCAATTTTGCATCTTTCAGGAGGTTTGTAAGATGATTTCATTGTAACAACTTAGGATGCCTCGTTTTGATAGTTTTGTTAATGTTTTTATCACTTCTTGTAATCAAACAGTGCTGCTGCTTCATCCATGGCCGCTTTGAAGCAGCCGACTATTAAAGTTGTGGCAATTATAGCTGAAGGTGTTCCAGAATCAGACACTAAACAGCTGATTGCTTATGCTCGTGCAAACAATAAGGTGTGTTTTTGTGTTATGATTAGCTTCAGTTAACCGTATGGTAAACAGAGTTTGTGAAACTGAATTGGGTTGGTTCAGGTTGTTATTGGACCGGCTACTGTTGGAGGTATTCAAGCTGGAGCCTTTAAAATTGGTGACACTGCAGGAACAATTGATAACATTATCCAGTGCAAGCTATACAGACCTGGATCTGTTGGTTTTGTCTCCAAATCTGTATGTGATGATTTTTCAAATCTTTATAATCTCTCCTATAGCTCATTTTGATGTCTGAGAGTTTTATTCATTACTCTTTCTTTTTCTGTAGGGTGGAATGTCTAATGAAATGTACAATACTGTTGCCCGTGTGACTGATGGGATCTACGAAGGTGAGTTTTGATGTAAGATAATCTACTAATGACGTATTAAGCTGAAGATTGTTAACACTGTTTTATATTGGGGGATTGTTATAGGCATTGCTATTGGCGGAGACGTTTTCCCAGGATCCACTTTATCTGACCACATCCTTCGGTTTAACAACATTCCACAGGTATATACCAATCTTCAACAGTTTAACATGTGCTCGCTGAAGTAATACTCTGCCAAATGTTTTTAAGTGGAAATATTTACAAATGGTTACACAGTTCCATCATTCGATTCATCTATGCCTTATAATTTGAATTACTATATTGCAGATAAAAATGATGGTTGTACTTGGAGAGCTTGGAGGAAGAGATGAATACTCTCTTGTTGAAGCCTTGAAAGAGGGAAAAGTCAATAAACCTGTGGTTGCTTGGGTCAGCGGAACTTGTGCACGTCTCTTCAAGTCTGAAGTACAGTTTGGTCATGCAGTAAGTGGCGCGAAAGAACCTATTAAGCAATGCCTTTTTGTCTGGTTTCAAATAGTATTTGAACATGATTTTAAATAGGGTGCCAAAAGTGGTGGCGAGATGGAGTCTGCACAAGCCAAGAATCAAGCTCTCATGGACGCTGGAGCTATTGTTCCCACTTCATTTGAAGCCCTTGAATCTGCAATCAAAGAGACTTTTGAGAAACTGGTCAGTTTCCCCTTTTTCTTCGCTAGTATACTCACAACATATTATCTTTTATTACAATCTTATGCGTTCACTTCAATTCCTCCTAAAAGGTTGAAGAAGGAAAGGTCTCATCTATCAAGGAAGTCATTCCTCCACAAATCCCAGAGGATCTCAATTCCGCAATTAAGAGTGGGAAAGTTCGGGCTCCTACTCACATAATCTCCACCATTTCTGATGACAGAGGTATTGTTATGGAAGCTAAGCTATATTCATTTGAACTTATTTTCCATGCTCTTTCCTACTGAAGTAAGAGAAATTGGAAGAGTTACTACACTATGCTTTTTATGCCTCTTTAGCTTATTTTCTGATACTCTTATGTGCCACAAATTAATTTGCAGGGGAAGAACCGTGCTATGCCGGTGTGCCAATGTCTTCTATCATTGAACAAGGCTATGGGGTGGGTGATGTGATTTCCCTTCTATGGTTTAAACGTAGTCTTCCTCGTTACTGTACAAAATTCATTGAGGTACTGATTTCTCTAGTGTCTTTTAATCTTGTCTTACTCGATATACAATGTTCTCATCTCTCCCTATCCCTTGATACATATACATTTGCATAGTGAGATTTGACTCTGGTCTGTCACTTTTGAAAATTGCATTGAACTAGATATGCATAATGCTGTGTGCTGATCACGGTCCATGTGTCTCTGGCGCTCACAACACCATTGTAACAGCAAGAGCAGGCAAAGACCTCGTCTCAAGTCTTGTCTCTGGTCAGTCAACATCTTATTTCCCAATCAAACAAAGTAGTTTTCCTTATAGTCCAATATTCTCAAAGACTGTTAAACCTTCAAACAGGTTTACTAACCATTGGTCCCCGATTTGGTGGTGCCATTGATGATGCTGCTCGATACTTCAAGGACGCGTGTGACAGGGTAAAGGGCAATTTTATTTTTCCCAACTGCAACTGCAATTGCCACAGTGGACACAAATTCTTGAAATCTGATCTCTCATTGGTTGCTTGTTTCAGAATCTCACACCTTATGAATTCGTCGAGGGAATGAAGAAGAAGGGAATCCGAGTCCCTGGAATCGGACACAGGTAGAAAACAAAACATTGCAAGAAACAAACAAATCTACATCCACTTGTCTTCTCTGAAACCTCTTTTCTTTTCTTTTTTTGGTAGGATCAAGAGCAGAGACAACAGAGACAAAAGAGTGGAGCTGCTTCAGAAATTTGCTCGGTCTAACTTCCCATCAGTGAAGTACATGGAGTACGCAGTGACAGTGGAGACTTACACGCTCTCGAAGGCAAACAACCTCGTAATGAACGTTGATGGAGCCATTGGATCTCTCTTCTTGGACCTTCTAGCTGGAAGTGGGATGTTCACTAAGCAAGAAATCGACGAGATTGTTCAGATCGGTTACCTCAACGGTCTCTTTGTTCTTGCTCGCTCCATCGGTTTAATCGGGCACACGTTTGATCAGAAGAGACTGAAACAGCCACTGTATCGTCACCCATGGGAAGATGTCTTGTACACCAAGTAAAACTCATCGCATCCTATTTTTGTTATTATTTTTAGCTTTTAATATTCTTCTGAGAGATGTTACTAAAAAAAAAATGGCATATCTCTAT